TTTTTTTTGTTTCTGCCTTCATGTTTGCTCTTGTTTCTATTGCATAACAGCCATTGATATATCAAGTTGGTATAAGTGGAGTTGACTCTTAACAGATAAAGTGAGGAACTAGAAGGGAGAATTGAGAGCTATCACCAAGATCTTGCAGGATGTATGGAAGAATTTCAGACTGGACTCGTTATTCGATGACATCAGAATTTCATAGAGTGCAGAATATAGAGAAGAAATTGACCACGATGATGGAAGAATTCAAATAAATCATGACTTGTTAGGAAGTGCAGGAAAGAACTGAAAATAAAAGGGAAGGAAGATACTCAACCATCTGGATTCACTATAAATTCTGTTGTAACCCCAGGGATAGAAGAAGAGAGCAAGGAAATGAATGAAGTAATCGTAGCGCAGTAGCGTTCGAAATGTCGATACCAGAGGTTGGAGATACCATTATTTGGAGTAAAAAAATCCGGAGGGGTGGGTTTGCAAGGTGGCATGCTATTTATTTGTGAATCAAATAACGGAAGTACAGCAATTAGAGGCTACAACAATACGCCTATGTCTTGGTATCGATGGCATAGTGTTGGAAACGGATGCATAATTGGGAGGAACTGAAGGTTCAATTAGTGGATCAATTCCAATTGACGTAAGACGGGACCTCGGAGAGAGATTCTTAACACTGCGGCAGGAAGGAACAATGAGAGAATAGAATATCTACAGATGTTTGAGCCGTTGTAAGCACCATCAGCAGATATCTCTGATGCCATCATGGAAGGCTACTTCATCAATGGACTTATTCCAGAGATAAGGTTGAGATTCGAGTTTTAAAACCCAATGGATTAAGACAGATAATAGATAGGATTTCTCTCTGTAATCAACTGGTTTTGGGGATTTTGGGAGATTTTAGGGCATAATTATTATGGTCATTAGAGGTTTTAATTTGTTTAGGTACTGTTTGGTAGGCCATTTTCTTCAAAATGTATTTTTCTCTTTATTTTTTTCAACCACACATCCTTTATTAAAATAATATTACACGTAAATCAAAAAAAATTTCTTATTTTTCAACCACTCATTTCACATCAATTTACTATTCTAAAATGCATTTTTACATAAAAACGTCTATCAAACACCCCCTTAATCTAATTTGTTCACTTTTTAGAGTGGGGAGTCTAATTTCCTCAAAATTGTTTCCAATATAAGCCCATAATCCTTAATGGACTAATGGACATTAAAACCTAATATGTAAAGGACTAATTAAGCCCACAAGCCTCCAATAGTAGATGATAATGATGATGATTATTATTATTATTATTTATTTATTTATTTATTTATGAACTGGGTAAATAGGGCTGGGTTCGAGGATGTACTGTGATCCTCATCCCCGTTCCGTCCCAAATCGCGACAAATCTTTTGGCACCATCTCTATCCTTGGAACCGATGAATCGAAATTCATCTTATTGTTGTCATTTCTAGTTAAGTTCAAATACTATTTTTATTGTTTTTAATATTACCGATTGATAAGTCATTTTATTAAGTGTTATTTTATGGGTTAATTTTACAAACGGTCATTGAACTTACGTAAAAAATACAAAGTGGTCACTGACGTTTAAAACTTGCAGAAACGATCACCGAAGCTTAGAGCGTTTTCAGAAAAACTGTCACTGAAGTTTACAAACTTGTAAAAACTGTAACCTAGATTTTTCAGATTTTTGGGCAAGTCTTGTGGCAATTTTCAAGCAACTTCCAACCACCAAGACTGTCGGATTTGGATACTGCCGGAAAGCCCACAATATTCTCTTCAATTACCATCCAAAATCTCCCCATAACTCTAAAGGATTCGACCGGATTAAGCCCACAAAGTCAGCTCCCCAAAATCTGCCCAAATTTTTCAGATATTTTGACGAGTTTTACGACAATTTTCAAGCAACTTCCGACCATCGAGACCGTAAGATTTGAATACCATTGGAAAGCCCACAATGTCTTCTTTAATTACCACCCAAAATCTTCCCATAACTCCAAAGGGTTCTACCGAAATAAGCCCACAGGTCAGCTCCCTGAAATCTGAAAATCTGTCGAGAATTTTCAAAATTTTTGGCGAGATTTGCGACAATTTTACGGCAACTTCCGACCACTAAGGCCGCTGGATTGGATATCGTTAAAAAACCCACAATATCTTCTTCAGTTACCAACCAAAATCTTCCCATAATTTCAAAGGATTCGGTCGAAATAAACCCACAAAGTCAGATCCCCAAAATTTGAAAATATGAAAATGTTAAAAATCTTGGCAGATTTTTAGATTTTGGGGAGCTGATTTTATGGACTAATTCCGGCCGAATCCTTTGGAGTTATGAAGAGATTTTGGGTGGTAATTGAAAAGGACATTATGGACTTTCCAAAAGTATCAAAATCCAGCGGTCTTGGTAGTCAGAAGTTGCCGGAAAATTGCCGCAAACCTCGCCCAAAAATCTGAAAAATTTGAGCGACCATTTCTACAAGTTTGTAAATTTCAGTGACCGTTTCTGCAAGTTTTAAACTTTAGTGACTATTTTTGAAATTAACCCGTTATTTTATTATCAATAGAATTTTTCATGGCTATTTAAATTTTTTTCTTTTTATTAATGAAATTTTTTTCAAAAATTAAATTATTAAATATTTATATTTCTTATATTATGACATAAAATTTCATAATATTAAACTATTTTAAATTTGTACTTAACTACCGACATGAACTTTTTGAACTAATATATAATTTTTATAATTTATTAATTTATTTAATAATGAAAAAAACCTATTGATAAGTAAAATTTATTCATTTTTTAAAAATATTATCATCAATAAAAAACGGCCATTTTTAATCATAAATTATTAGCAATTATGCTACTTGACCATAATTGTTGACATAGGGCTTGACCTCATAACCTGGAAAATGGATAAAAAAATAAAAAGAAAAGAAAAGAAAGGGAGGGAAACTTATTGCAAACGTGTCGCGCCCATTTCAAACCATTTTCCATCATCTAGGGCAAATTTTGGAACGATTTCAGACCACCACATGGGGGAGAAATTCGACTACGTCTCAAACTCTCCTGTGACTGAGATTTGGAAATACCTCTATTCAACAAATTAATGGGTATTGTTCAACTAATTTTCTCAATCTCTCGCTTTCTTCCATTGTTTGAGTTGGTGGAAACATCACAAATACTTTTAACAATTTAAAAGTAAACTACCCACAGTTATCAATGATTTTGTCTATTTGGTTTTGGGATTGTTCACTAATTGAATTTCACATTCTGGGCCATTTTATATAATAGAAAAACTACATCTTTTTTAACATTGCCTCGCAAGTGTTTGATTTAATGGCTCATTGTTTTATTGGAATCTGCTAGTCAATCTTTTGATTTCTCTCTACTACCAAGTGTGAAGAATCTAATTTTTGTATACTTTGTAAACTTCGATTGTCTAAGAGTACTAATCCAATTTTTACTAATTTATTTAGTTATTGTTTTTACACCATTCTTCGGCGACATGGAAAATAGGGAAAATCTAGCATCCAACATTTGGCTACATATCCACTGGACCTAACCTAACATCGTTCAGCCAAGAGATGACTGAAAAATGTACTGGTTCGCATTGATTATGTATTTCATTGTTATGAATGGCTTAATAATGTTGCATTTTTCGGATGTAAGATTTTTTACTATTTTGTAATGGCTGGGGATTTTTTTTTTTTTTTCATTTTAGCTATGATGACAGCATAATGTGAGGTTTGAATAGCCATTTAGATTTAGGGGATTTGTTATGTAATTTTCTCGTATGTGAAGTTTGAATTATCGTTAGATAAATTATGTTGTTGTACATTATTCGAAATTATAATTGATTTGTTTGTTGCAAGGAAAGAAATTTTGGAATATGTGGATGACATTATACTGATGGAGTCCGATAATGAGAATGTTGTGAAAAATACAAACATACTGGGTGATGATATGTTAGTTAGAGATAGTGTTATTGTGCCTGAGGTGGGTATGAAATTTAAGGATGAAAATGAAATGTTCGATTTTTACAAAAGATTTGCATACGAAATTGGTTTTCTAGTTAGAAAAAGAAATTCAAGAAAGGATGATGATGGAGTATTGAGAAATATTATATTTGTTTGTAGTCGTGAAGGAAAAAGAATCAGAAATACAACCAGTTCTTTGAAGTCACAAGCAACCATTCAAAGTGGATGTAAAGCCGGGATCACTATGGAGAATTTGCACGATACACCTAGACCACAATCATAAGACAAGCACTTCGAAGTCTAGGCTATATCGATGCAACCGAAAGTTGAGTGCACATGTGAAACGGTGACTTGAAGTAAATGACATGGCCGAAATTCCATTACACAAGAGTTTCAACTCTGCTGTTGTTGAAGTAGGTGGATATGAAAATATGACTTGCATCGAAAAGGATTGTTAAAACTACATCGAAAAAGTTAGGTGTTTAAGGCTTGGAAAAGGGGACAGAGCAGCAATACAATCATACTTCACTAAAATGCAAGCACAGTGCTCGGGCTTTTACTTTAGTATTGATTTGGATGATGAGTTGCGTCTAAAGAATGTTTTCTGGGCAGATAATAGGAATAGGCAAGTGTATAAGAAGTTTGGTGATATTGTCACATTCGACATCACATACCTCATTAACAATTACAATATACCATTTGCCCTTTTTGTTGGAGTGAACCATCATGGACAGTCGACGCTTTTTGGATGTGGTTTGCTATCGAATGAGGATACGGAGACATTTGTGTGGTGATTTTGAACCTGGCCATAATGCATGCATGGACAAGCTCTACATGGGATAATTATAGATCAGGATAGGGCTATGCAAAATACAATCCAAATCGTTTTCCCCAATACAAAGTATAGATGATGTTTGTGGCATATATTGAAGAAATTGCTTGAGAAGTTTGGATACCATGTGGATAAAGGTTCAATATTTACAACCATTCACAGTTTGGTTTATAATTGTCATTTTGTAAAAGAATTCGAGAATGGCTGGAGAGTGATGATCGAAACGTTTAACTTGTATGATAATAAGTGGTTGGCAGGTTTGTATGAGAATAGAGAACTTTGGGCACCTTGCTATTTGAAAGCCACATTTTGGGCAAGGATGTCAACAACTCAACGCAATGAGAGTATGAATGCATTCTTTGATGATTATGTACATTCGAAGACAACTTTGAAGCAATTTGTTGAACAATACGAACGAGCACTGAAAATAAGGTTGAGAAGGAGTTTCAAGCAGACTTCAAGTCGTTCTCACAAATGGTACCATGTGCAACGAGATATGAAATGGAGAAGAAATTCCAAGATGTTTACACAATTTCAAAAAATTCAAAAAAGTTCAGGAGGAGTTCACTGGTAAGGTTTATTGCGACCTCATATCTATTTCGGAGGGATTATCGGGCCGATCTACGAAATACGAGAGGACGTAATACATAACGAGCGTTCTAAGAAAAAAGCCTTTTTCGTCTCATTTCAAAAACAACAAATGTGAAATCACTTGCAGTTGTCATAATTTTGAGTTTCAGGGGATTATTTGCAGATATATGGTCGCGGTATTGATTCGTAACAATGTTAAATCAGTATCGGAATGATATATACTACAAAAATGGCAACGAGATGTCAGTAGAGCCCACACGAGGGTAGTAGTGGACTATGATGGTTGGATTAGTACTCCTGGACAATTAAAGTACGACAAAATGTGTGAAAGGTTTGCTACATTAGCTAACACGACTGCAGATGATGAAGTCAAATCTGATGCCATAATTGATTAGATTGACAGTCAATGTAAACAGATGATGACGTTGAGGTCGAGTTGTAGTAGTAATGTCTCCCCGCATATTACTCAGATATCATTTGACTATGGAACAACAGAGGATACTGGAAATGGTAGCATACGAGATCCAGAATGCGCGAAAAGAAAAGGTGCCCCTAAGAAACTTCGAAAGAAGAGCCTACTAGAATCGAGTTTGAACAAAGTTAAGGTAATGCTCAATTTCTAGTATCCAAATGTTATCAAGTCATTATAGAGATAATATCTAATAAGCATTCCATTTTTTGCAGGCAACTTCAAGTTCAACCAAAGGGAAGAAACAAAAGGTTTACACAAGTAATATGGGAAATGTTGCAACCATCTTTCAGTCTCCTCAACCATTACAAATACTGCTACCTTTCTCATATACAAAACTCCTTATGGTTATCATTCATTTATGATTTCATTTCAACGAAAATATACGATTTGCTTATAATGTTATTTCACGCAAGGTGGCAATCAAAATCTTCAATTCACACAGCACTTGCAATCCACATATATCAACCCTCCATCGTCAACAAGTCTTACATTCAATATGAAAGGTAAATCAATTGTTATATAGAACATAATGGTTTTTGCAAACATTATTGATTAAGTACATTCATTAATATGTAATAAGCCAACTTACATGGAGCTAAATTTTGTAGGTTTGGGTAGAAGACATATGAATGATGCTACTAGCAATGACACACGACAGTTGGGAATGCATTTTGATGGAGGAAGTTCATATGCTCACTAATTACTAGTCCCAAGCAAGCTGGTCTTTTTGTAAAACTAGAATAGCATATTCTGCAATGCATTTCAATGTCAAACTGGTCTTTTTGTAAAGTTGGAATAGCATATTATTGGTGCGAGTAGATTTCGATTTCTATGCAGTGCAATGTCAAAAGTTATTTTTATTTTTGAATGCTGTAATGAATTTGGACTTGGTTAGATGAATTTTTTTTGTCATTCTATCAAACTTGATAATGAGTGATGACAAAATAGAGTTCTGGAATAGATTTGACTTTGTTTTCTATTGTCTCAATTGGTGTTTGTTTATTTTATTTCATTCTTCCAACAACTCACAGGAATGCCCCGGTCCTGTTCAAAACCATTGGTTTTGGAGCTAATGCTTCCTTATTTTCTTGAAGGTGGACTACAAATGTTATTTTTTTCCAGGTATTGTACTTAATTTATTTATCTATTTCAGCTTTTATTTACTTTAATTAATCATTGTTTGCACGATGCAGCTTATTAGTACAGTTTGCATTGGAATTAAATTTGGTCTAAATGGAAATCCTACTAAATTGCATAATTGGTATGCAACGTTGGTGGTTGTAGCTATTTGCGTTTATGTAGCTGGATTTGCTTGGTCTTGGGGGCCTCTTAGTTGGTTGGTACCAACTGAAATTTTGCCTTTTGAAGTCCGATCGACTGGACAGAGCATCAATGTTTAAGTTAATATAGTCAATGTTTTCTACATACAATAGATTGTTTTATGTTGATCATCTGTTAATTTCAACATTTTTAGATGGGAAGCCTTAATAGTCAAGCCCATCACGAGAAATTGTGCTTTATTTTGTGTTTTAGTAAGTAAGTAGGTTCCAAGATATGAAGCATTTACTTATGCTTCAAGGTTAATTAGTGTTAATAATATATCTGAAAAGGTTACTCGTTAATTTTGTTTGAATGTGGCTTGTAGTGGAAATGTTCCCAGAATTTTTATTCCTTGTCTTCTTTTTCATTTGGACTTAGTGATTAAAGCATGACGAAGACCACAAAATCTCTTCACTTCTAATCTTTCACCAAACATGATCTTTTGCATGCATATGTTGTATTTTCACAATTTGAGGTCAAACTGAGGGCTAATATATTCTGGTGGATAAAATACAAAAGAAATTCTAACAAATCGAAAAAAAATTTGCCTGAAATTTCAGTGCATTCCTTGATGAACTAGCACAACTTACAGGAGCCAAAATTATACATTAGTATAAACTAGAAGGTAAAACTTAACAGAGCAAAGCAAAAGCCAAAATTAAATAAAGAAGTTCGACATCATTGAACCCATATCAAACATCTTAAGCAGTTCCTTATGTTAATTGGAAGGCCAATCTATATTTCCTATCGGCCCATTTGGTGACGTGCTCTCCTCGTTCGTGTATAGTCACGTTCATATCAATCTCTATGTCTTGTTCATCACTTAATCTAGGAGATTTAAATTAGACTTTTATTAAATTTTGATAAAATTTAATGAGATGTATGGTTTAAAAGTTATAGATCCTAGGATATATGTAGTTAAAATTAATCATCGACTTTGATTTGAATTAAAATATACATTTTAATCCTTAATAAATGGAATGTTCATTACGATTTTGTTGTATGCATAGAAGCTTTATAGGATGTGGCATCCTATCATTGAACACTGCCCAAAAAATGTGGCGTTGGCAACCAATGCAATCTACCTTTTATAGGGTAATTCCAGTACAAGTAACAAAATCCTATTCATTATTTTGCTTTTATCAGTGATAATTTTTGTTTATGAAATAAATCTATCATAAATTTAATAATTATCCGGAAAAAAAGAACCTGACATCAATCTAATTATTTAGTACATGTGGGTATGGATGGACATTTTCTCATCGAACCATTCGAGGTGGATAATATAATCGAAATGAAATTTAATTGGGGAGGGCATATCTACCCAATAAAATAGGACCATGCCTTGTTTGTCCTTTTTAAATTAGAGCAATTGGCAAAAAGCAATTAATGAAAATTTGTGGTCCAAGAATCTATCTGTCTTGAAACCGAATTCCAAGAAATTGTGGTCAAACTAGTTGAATTGGACCAAATTATTAAGGAAATTGACACAAATAACACTAATTAAAGCTTACAAACATAGCAATCGCTTTTTCGATATTCATTTTTTATTCATCAATTTTTGTGTTTTCGAGACATACAAGGGAAAGAGAGACCTTGACGTATGCATTATGTTTCTCCCCATGTTGAATTTTATCATTTTCTCGAGCTACATAGTTTAAAACTTTAAGCACTTAAGCTTAAGAAAAAAGACAATGACTCTCGAGCTACAATTTTTCCCTATCAAAAGGAACATATGTCGTTGGTGGCATAAGCAAATGATACTCCCGATGCACGTTCTTGTTGAATTTACAGATCATTAATGGTACATCTGCGAAATCCTTACAGTGATTATAATGTAAATAATTTTTTAAATAGGTTCATTGAGATTTGATGTATAAACTTTAATTTCTCAGATACCATCTCAAAGGCTTAAATTGTTAAAGTAAGACATTTGATTTACTAAAATTTTGTCTACAACAAAATCTTAATTACTATTTAATGCAAAATGGGCTATTCTATGTCCCTCTATCCTATGATTCTCATTTCTCATCCCTAAAAAAAATGCTAGTGGGGGAGGGCAGATCTAGCCCATAAATGAATGCCATACCTTGCTTGTCTGCTTTGAATCAAGAGAAAATGCCAAATATTTCATTCCCATTCTATATGGAACTACCCCAAATGATCCAATTTTTTATTTTTATTTATTTATTTATTTTAATATAAAATTCATTGGCCCATTTTTTTTTAGTATAAATAGGAGTACCCTTAGCCATAGCACAAAAAATGGCCACTGCATCAGCTAGTAGAGGAGCACAAACCTTCAACTGCATGCATTTCAAGTAAGGTTTTATTTTCTATATTTCAATAATAATTTTGATTTATACTTAACATTTCTTTCATTTAAAGTTACTTGTAATCCTATGATAGAACAAATTTCTTCACAAAACTGAAGTAGAATAGTTTTTCTAGCACTTTTCATATATAGAATATACAACCCCTCCGTCCCCTTATTATCCTAACCAAATGTTGACAAATCATTATAATTTTATGTCATTAATCTTTTAATTAAGCAGAGCAATTAACTTCCCAACTCCATGTCAATACATATATGTTTGTGTATCAAGTAATATTTTTTGTTTTATTTTATCTATCACATTAGGAAATATGTACAATCAACTAATGCACGATGAGAAATCCCCTTTTTTTCTTATAATAAATTCTTTTAAAACAGGCCAATATTGAGGAAAGCCTACCATCGAAAGAGTGGTCCGCCGGACATGATGAGTGACAAGGTCAAATTGAACGGGGAGGAGACGAAGAATAAAAGTATCGCTATACAACATGATCCTACTTGGTGGATTCCAGATGATCGAACTGGAATTTATTATCCTAAGGGTCATGAGAAGGTGATACAAGACGTTCCTCAAACATCGATAGAAGATTTTGGAGCCATTAATTGGTTTTCAAATCATGAGGATTGTATTTAATGAGTTATTCTTGAACCGACTTAATATGTTGGTACTACGTTATTTGTCTCCATTTATCTTTTACTTAAATATATGAAATTTAATTGTGTCGTATTCCTTTATGTATATGCTGCTATTTAAATCCTAATTTAAACCCAATCTCCAGTCAAGTGATTCCTTAATAATAATAGTTTTGCTAAAATTTTCTTTTCATTTACTATTTACCCCCTTTTTTTAAAACAACATTGCATTTTAGAGACGAGAAAAAAGGCTATAAATTTTTACCAACTTCAAGATTATTTGGATTTTATTATTATTATTATTATTATTATTATTATTATTATTATTATTATTATTATTATTATTATTATTATTATTTTATTTTTATTTTTTTTGAGAATTCGAAGTGTTTGAGAAATTTTTCGAAGGGAAAATAATAAAAAGGACTTAATGTTTTCCACGTATAAAAGTTACCTCAGATTTGAAATAGAAGCATGCTCATTGTTATTGGAGATGCATCAAGTGAATTTTCATCGATCTATAGATAGTATCACAAAAAATATGCCAGCAATGAAAATTATTTACGGAATAAATTCGACAAAACTACGAGATATTTGAAACTAAATTAATGTTTACTAACCCAATTTAGAATAATTAAGTTTGGTGACTCAATTGAGATTTTACTAAGGGTTCGTGTGATAGTAAACGTGAAAAAGGCAAACCAATTCCGTGTAAGTTTGAAATGAACACCAAAATCATAAGAATTCAATTTTTGTGAAAATGACCAAAAACATACTTTAAGTATTTGTACTTTGAAATTTGTACTTTATTTCCACTTTCATATCAAATAGTCAATTTAGAAAACAAATTTCTCGATTGTGATATTTTCCATGAAATACGATGCTATCAAACGGACCCTTAAAGTCCAATGACTATAAATGAAATTCACCCTACTTTATTAATGTTTTATTGGCAATCATGCATGATATACACTAAGTTAGACAGTTTGCCACATGATTGCAAACTATCTTTCACCAATAAGAAAAAAATATTGTTTTTCCGTCTACATATTTTTTGAAAACGATAATAATGTCAAGAATGATGTAAAGGAGAAATGTACAAGTGGCAAATTTCATTAAATTGGTCTAGTCACTGAGTGGATGTATATCATATAGCTGGCACATACTTGACTATCAAGAATTTTTTAAAATAGGTGATGTCAATAAAGTTTAGAGGTAAGTCGATTATTTTTGAGGATTTTATTTTGGCTACAAGATGTATGATATTCTCGTGAATTGAATTTATCAAGTAAGAATTTCGGGTATAGTCAAAATTTATAGATATTTATATTACGAGCTTATACATTTGAGCTCAATTGTTAAATTAAAAAAAAAAAAAAAACACGTGGGATGAGAAAACAGGGTTTATTTTCCCCCTATCATTTTATAGCAAATAATTTTCGTACTTAACTTATCTAAGACCCTATAGAAAACAGGTTTTAGACCAATCTCTTTTAGAATGGATAAGAGACTGAAAGGCTTTTTTACCTATTAGAAGGAAAAGAATATTGAAAGAGATATCTTAAGTAACTTCCAAAGAAATCAAAGTTAATAGGTTTAGTGAAAGTTAAAAATATGAGGAAAAAACTATAACTATCATTCTTTAAAAATAAAATTTTGAAAATGTCAAATTTGTAGAATTCTTTCAAAAATCAGTCCATTATTTTTCATAAAATTATAAATAATGGATTAAGTAAGAGAGTAATGTGACTTAAATTGATGATTAATAAAGGATAGTTGATGATTATTTTCTCATCTTATCACTTCTTTAACAAACAATGATATCTTCCTCCTCAATTTTCTCATAAATCATAAAACAGAAAATAGAATTACGGACCTTCATGCCAAGATTATCCAGAATATACGAAGAAATTGACACAAAATCCCAACGTTCTTACTTTAGAACAATTGTCTCCTTCTTGTCCACAATTTCTCCAGAATAATTGGCCCCAGTTTCTGCGTCATTTTTCCATCCATTTGTGAAGCATAGAATTTGTGAACAATCTATAAGTGACTGTGATCTGATACGTTGTGTGATTGTCAACTATAGCCTATAAATTGTGTGCTTGTGTCAAGGCTGGCCCTGGCCTAAGGCAATGGACTTGGGCCTCATAATTTTGAGGGCCTCACAAAAAAAGGGGCAAAAAAAACTACTAATTTTAGAATATTATGATGATCCTTCCAAATAATATCTTCAACACAAAGCCCAAGCCTTCTTCAAAACAAATTTGACCTTAGCATAAGGAAAGCAGATCTGGCATCATTAAATTATTTTACTTTTTCATTTTTGTTAATTAAGAAATATAGCACTTTGACAAAGGAAATCAAAATTAAGGACAGTTTCATTTCAGCCACAAAATTGCACGTATTATATTATTTCACAGTACACAAAATATAAAGAGATAAAAATTATTATATATTCTCTATGTTAGTAAGAAATATTTAATTTGATATATGAAATTTATATTTGCATTCTTTTATTTAATTCCTCAATAAAAATTTAATAACTCAAATGTGTGTACCTATTCCTTTTGCATCTCAAAATGTGAGAATGTTAAATATTATACTAGTCTAATCTCTCGAGTTGTGAGAGGAGTTTTATTTTGTTACTCTATCTCGGGGTTTTATTTTGTTACTCTATCTCTTTAATTGCATGAAATCTTCATTATAATATAGAAATATTATTTGGTCAAATATTTAAGTAATGTTACGATTATAAAAAAAAATAAAATAAAATAATGTTTGAAGGCCTCAAAAAAACTTAATCACCTAGAGCCTACAATTCTCGGGGTCAGCCCTGAGTTGTGTCTCCCAGTCTAACATTTGTGACAATATATAATTTTTAAGTATATATGAAAATTTAAGAATGTGACCTAAGACATATGTTTTTAGAAAATTGTCATTTCGTACAAAGTTATCATCACGTTATATGACTATAACCTCTGAGGTGGTGTGATTGTGACCTCAAATATTTGTAGTACGTGATAAAAAGTGAATTATGTATATTTATCTCGACCGCTAAATAAGATTAATTGTTGTGAATTTTGATGAATTATGACTTCATTATGTATATATTTTGTTAGATAAAACTCGATGAAAATTGAATGAATTAGACAAAATGAGCGAAAAAGGGCAGAATGAAGGAAATTTAAAGTTTGGGGACCAAAGTGCAAATATTTAATAGTTGATTTGGACCACAAAATGAAAATTGAAGATCATATATGATCAATTGGAAGTAATTAGAAATCAAAGAAGTGAAAAATCGAAATATAATCAATTTTCATCTGCACAATTATGCTTCAGATTTTCAGCTTTAAATTGAGACTCGTTTCTCCCATAACAAACTTCAAATTGGAAAAATCATATTTGTATAAAAATTATAACACTTTGAGATAGCTTTTCAATTCACTTTAAATAGTCTCAATTGGATATCGGAAGAGAAAAATATGATAAAAAAATTTTAAGGCTGTGCGAGTCATAACCATGTGCGACACGTGAATGCAACTTCCCCTATTTTATTGAAACACTTTTGAAAATCAATTGGATGTATTTTTTGACCTAATTTCACCTTCTATTAAGTACAAAACATGGGCAGCCATTGAAGATAGCTCTCTCTAGCCTCTCAACACACATCCACATCGTAGAATTTATTAAGAACAAGATGTCAATTTACATATTTTGGAAGAGAATATCCAAACCTAACAAGAATTGAAGGTCAATTACATCAATAAAATGAAAATTTTAATCTTGAAATTGAATATCAATATTTTTTCATTCTTTCATGATACGGGTGAGGATTTTCACTATTCTTCTTGTAATTACATAAAATCATGCTATGCTAAATTCCTTTTTGTATTAGATGAGATGAACACTATTATTTAATTATTTTAATCCAAGACTAGTAGTTTAATTAATTCTTGCATTTCTTGATTAATTTTGGAGTTAATTTAAAATGGTTGTTGAACTTTAATATAAATTACTACTTACTCATTGAAATTTACAAAAGCTACTCGTTGCTCACTGAGCTTTGCTATACTATTATTTGCTCACCGAAATTTAAAAGATTACTTGTTGCTTATTCAAATTTGAATAAAGTTACTAATTCATCACCAATATCATTTTTATCGGTCCACATGGATAAACATTAACGTGATGGATTGAAAATTCTAGGTGGCACTAACGGAGTTATAAAATAAGCGAAAAAAAAAAAAAAAAAAAAAAATCTAAGTGACGCATGACGAAAATTACCTATGCGATCGCATGGTGGTGTCCACTACAATCACACGGGCAATTTTTGTCGTGCATCACGTGGATTATTTTGTTCACACTGTTATTTGTTTTAGCTTTGTCAATGCTACGTATGATTTTCCACCCGTCACGTTAATTTTTGTCCACTCGGATTGATGAAAATTGTATGGGTGATAAATGGGTAAATTATTCAAATTTGGGTAAGTAACGAGTAACCTTTAAATTTTGGTGAGCAAGTAGTAACTTATAGTAAATTTCAGTGAGCAACGAGTAATTTTTTAAAATTTTGGTAAGCAAGTAATAACTTTAGCAAAGTTCAGTGACCATTGATTAAATTAACTTATTAATTTTCAATTCTCATTGCATTATTAATTGCGTAGTTAATAATTAGATAATCAGTTGCTTGTTGTAGTGATGAAAAATTAACAATAAGTTTAGAACATGACAAGATTAAAGCATCGATAGTAGATATTAGGAATAACAATATCGTGTGCGTAATCATATAGATAATCGTGTAATTTAATGCATTCTAATAATTCGAATTCGGACTAAGAATATGATTGGGTCGAGTCGTGATTATAATAGATTTAATTTATCTTTAAAAAAAATTATATACCATAATTTTATTGATTGTCAAGAATGCATGAGTAAGACAAAATTTTATAATTAAGAATTGTAGATAGCAATGGGTGGATTCAAAGTCCAATATAGTTATCCATAGTTTAACAAAAACAAACGATTTTTTTTTTTTTTTTTACATATTTCATAGATTCATTTAGAGTAAATACAATCACATAATAATCCCTTTTG